GAAGCTTGGTGGTGAAGCTATGGAGGATTTGGAACTTTAAGATCCAAAATCTTCATCAACTTTGCAAGCTATTTGAGGTATAAAGCTCTTAACTTGATGGTTCATTTGGTTAGATCTAGTTAGGGATTGTTTTTATGCCTTTTATGTTCCTTTAAGCAATGTTTGAGAGTATGAGTCGCTCCAGAAGCTAGGGATGGTAGATCTTGGCATTTTCAAGGTCCCTTGTTCATAAAAATGCAATCTTGATGAGTTATCTTGGACCATGCATGAGTTAGGATTAGTGTTATGGTTATTTTGAGTATTGGGTCCCATTAAGTCATGAAAGGGTGTAAAGTTGCCAACTTTACGGTTTAAGACATCATTTAAGATCAGATATGAGAATTTGGATTAGTGGCTTAATCGATTATGCTCTTATTGAAGAGTTAGGTTGACTATCGAGTACGTGGGGTGTACCCATCTCGTACGCTGCGCATACTGTCCCTGTAGGGAGTACACTGGGCGTAAGTCTGACTACGCCAGGGGTACTCAGTAGCCTTGACTTTTGCGATTTGGGCCATATATGGACTATTAAGGTTTTGGGCCTTATTGAGCCAATGGTATGTCTTTAGGTCATTATTAGGCTTTGGGCCTTCTTGGATTTGGGCCTATAATAGGTTTTATGCCTCATTTAGGAATTTGGGCCTCATTTAAGAGTTTAGGCTATATTGGGCTTTTGGAGCCATTGGGTTGGGACTTGGTTTTAGACCAACTAAGGAAAGGGTAAAATGGTTTTTCACCTAGGGTATTGGACAAAGTGAACTAGATTCCTAGTTAAGGTTTATGGCCCGATTATTAATTAGGGTTTTATTTGATTGATTAGTGTGGAGATTATCTAGATCAGTAGTCCAAGCGTTTATTTGATTTTCAGCATTTGAGGTGAGTTTTCTCACTATATCCATGGGTCAAAGGCACCAATACCGGCCTATTAGTTGTTATATGGAATGTTACTTGTCTCTGTGATGCTTGCTTGAAAGACCGAGATCTGGCCCCTGACAATTAAATAAAAGACTAGGATTTGGCCCCTGCCAATTGTATAAAAGACTAGGATCTAGCCCCTAGCAATTGCATGAAAGATTAGGATTTGGTCCCTGGTACTTGTATGTAAGACCGAGATTTAGCCCTCAACATTGCAAGGAAAGACCAGAAGTTAAAAAAAGAAGTACCTCTATCATAGTGAACCTCTCTTTGTGGTGATAAAAAAAAAGATGGTCCACTATGATTCCGGGGGGGGGGGGGGGGGGGGGGTTACTTCTTTTTCCCCTTCTGGGATGAATAAAATACATCAAGGGGGGGATCATTCTTTTATTGTAACATTCTCCTTAAATTTACAAATTCACAAGGGGCCTCAGACACAATTTAGGTTTCTAATAGTAAAAAAAGGTTTGATTGACAGGTGTGGAGAGGAAATGGAGATTATAGAAAAGTCTATGAATACATAAGTGAAGGCTCGACTTACATTTAGACCGGAAGGAATACACTCGACATGGAGCTTGGCAGTGTTGAGTTGGTTTGGTAAACACCGCAAAACTTCGACATTGTTGGATGCAGTCTATGCACCTTTTTAGCGTGTTTACTTCATTATTTTGCGTTACATTTCAATAATAAACCATGGATTTTACTTTATTTTAGGACAATTCTTGGTGCTTTTGATTTCCATAAATTATATATCATTTAAGTGATTCTAAAGGTCAGAGATGATTGAGGATGGTGAAAAAGGGCATGGAATGACTTTACAGAATTTTCCGACCTGAAACAAAGAAAATCAAGGATTCATCACAAAACATTTGGCATGGGTCATGTCAAATTAGACACAAAGTTCCATGTGGGCCGTGTCATATCTTACATGGATCGTGTCAAACCAATGCAATTCGACACAAGGTCATGTCTAGTGAAGATTTTGGCTGATTTCAACAATGTACATTGGAGATGGGTCAAAAGAGGCATCATACTTTCAATCTACATGGGGGCATGTTAGTTAAGGCATATTTGATATGCGGTCATGTTAGTCATATTTTGTAACCTATTATGACGCACACTCTCTCTCATTGAAGGTGACCAAGGGTTGATTTTTGAAGAAGATTCTTTTTATTAACTTTGAAGAGATTGTTTGGAATCAATTTATTTCATCTTTGTAAGCCACTTTAGTACTTTAATTTCATTTCTAGGCTTGGTAGTTATGTTCTAATAATGTGTGGCTAGAACCCTAAGTTTTCCAATTCTATGTATTGACTTGTCGTTTATGGTTTAATCATATGAACTGATGTTTATGTATAAATTATATCTTGTTAATTCGATTTTGTTTCTACAAAGAGTTTGATTTTAGTTTTGATTCTTGTTGGCCGTTTGAAATAGGGTTAGATTCTAAGTTATCCAAATTGTAAAATCTATAATTGTTTTGTGAACTAGACTTAATAAAAAACATTAAACTGATTTTCAATGAATGATTTTAATGTAAATCTTATTCATACATTCTTATGCTCCCAAGCTTGTGAGGAGTATTGAGTGTTGTCTGGAACATTCACATAAAGCTTAATGCAATCTTTTTGTTTATTTCTAAGAGCTTATTTAGACTTGAATTCAAATATTAGGTTAGTTTTAAAGAGCTTTGTTTTAAATCTAATAATTTGGTGATGGGGAAGTGTTAGAGTTTTTTAACACTTCAAACTACCAATTTGGAAAGAATTAAGTAAATGTCATTTCATAATTGAATCACTTTAACAAGACAGTCAAGCATATAGTTGGAATCCTTACGTTTCTGAATTCTCTTATAACACGTTATTTCTTTAGTTGTCTTTCTAAATCTTGCAAACAAATCCCATGTGATACAAGTAGGTGTGGGTCTAAGCTCTTTTATATTTGATCTCCGGTGACTGAACTCAACCTTCGGTGATGATGCAAATTCTATCAATTAAGGAAAAGAAAGAAGGAAACTATCCCTATTAGTAACTTTGAGTGTGCAAGGGAAATCAAAAGCTTTTGTGTAGATGAATGGATGCATTTTGATCATAACATGTGGGTTTTTAGGGTGCAGGCATAAAATACAAGGAATGATATAATCATTACTAGCCTATTATTTTAACATGTTAGGTCAATTACTGTTTTAACATCAAAGTAAGACTATAATGAAAGGTAGAGAAATCTACATTCAATGTACATGTATGTGTCAACCTGGGATGTCCGATGTTCATGGAATTTCATGGGGGGTATGAATAGTGATGTTGGTTGGCTGATGGTACTTCATATAAACAAAAAAAATATATGGAGGTTTGTTAGTTGCCACACTTTTGGAGATAAAGTAATGAATGTACACCTTAAGGTACCCCCTTTTACCTATGAATGTGTTTATTGTTTAAACATTTATATTCTTGTGTTTGCATTACTTGTTAAAAGTAATATTAATAATAATAAAACAAAAAATACGTTATAATCATAAAATAGGCGTTAGGAATAGAAAGGGTGATGTAGACAATAATATTTTTATGCATCAAAGGTATTTAATTTTATAATTTCTTATCTAGGAATATTAATGCACGAAAAATACATTTAGGATCAATACATTTCTAGACATGTCGATATTATGAGGTATTGGTGTTGTACATGTACTTAGATTCTTGGTGATGCAATAGTAGGAGCCATTTTAAAGTGTGCTTGAAAGTCATGGGCTATTCCTGGTTGGTTAGAGAGGGTTTCAGCTTAGTACGTATATTAATAGTATTGCTTAGTCTATTCTTGGTTCAGGTGAGTCTTCTCACTATACTGTGTCGGATGTTAGATGCTTGTTGTTTTTATGACTCTTGCATGGATGTTTGTATGTATGTTGGGCGAGGCCCGTTAGGTGAGATCCGTTATGCATGTTGGGCGGGGCCCATTGGGTAAGACTCGTTATATTATTGGGCGATGCCCGTTATGTATGCTAGAAGAGGCCCGCATTGGTATGTGATATCTCGGGGAACTCCCTAAGATTTATGCTTACGACTTTAAGTTTAAATTGTTTCAGGTTTTTTTGTACCGAAGGAAGAGTGCGACTTGATTGTATCACATCCATTGGACATTTCTGCACTTAATAATATTATGTCCATACTCTGATTGTTGTTTTTGTTGGATTAGGTGCCTAAGCTCATAAATATAATTGGTATGAACTTGAATTGATAATATTACAATCCTTTTGGGTTGCCCTCAAACATAGCAATTAGACAAGATATTTTTGGAGAGAGATATTGATTTATTATTAGATTAATAAATTAAAATAAATAATTTATTAATATATTATGAGAGTAATATATTAATTAAAAATAGTAATATTTAATAAGAAATTAATTTGAATTAATTTTGTGATTAAAAGAATTAATTAAAAGTACAAAGATTAATGTGTAATTCTTCAATAATTGAACAAGAGGCATTCTACAACCTCCTTGAAGCCTAGGACGGTTTTGAGGTGGGTTTTAATGTTCTAGAAGTATTCACGTTGATAATTAGAAAGTTGAATAATTACCATTTTCAAGTCTAATACATATCTTAATTTATTTGAATTTTAAAAATCTAAATCATAGAAAAAAAAAAACATATGAGGCCACTACATCTCAACTGTGAATGAAAGATAAAATTTTAAACTAATATTCTAGAAAAATGACATGTGACACAAGTTATTTTTATTTATTATATAAGTATAGATATAGATATAGATATGCCACCGATTGATGTTGAAATACTTAAGATATAATTTATATAAACGGTATTTAAATTTTTCAAAAAATCTTAAGGATGCTATATTATCTATTTTTAAATATAAATCATTCTTGATATACGTGGGAAAAGTGGAAAAAATGAGTTAGTTAATGTTCCGTGAAAAGTAACCAGCAGTCTAAGAAGATTTATTTTAAGAAGATTTATTTGTGAATGGAGTTATAGTATTCTTTATCGTGAATGTTACATAGAAGTAAATATTTTGTCTAAAAAAACTCTCATATTCCATACTTTTGCAAGAATGCATCCATATACCCATCAAAACCAGCCATTATATAACAATGGGTAAAATATTCAATTATGTCTTTTATCTGCTTCTCGATGACCATTCCTAATTGTGCATACATCCAGTCTAAATATTGTGGCTGCCACAGCAAGAAAATACATTATAATTACGCCAAAACTATGTAATTATAAGAATTATAGAAAATAGATTAAGTACATACCTTTTTTGCAAGTGAGTGTGTTTGATACTCTAAAAGTCCATTTTCTTTCATTTCTTGATAATAATGTTTGACATCACTTGACATTTCATCTTCTGATGGTAACAAAATTTTCCCCGATAACACGTGTGCTATCCATCTTGATTGTAACTCCATTGTTAGAAACGTAAAACCCTAAATCTTTTTTTATCAATTATAATTTTTTTAATAGATTAAGGATATAAAATAAATAAAACATGAACATAAAGATTACCTTTTCAGGTATTCCAACAAAAGACAGTCTAGGTGCAAGCCTTGGAGGGAAAACATGTTGGTATAGAGGTCCGATACGTTTGTCTTGGACATTTACCATGCCATTCGTTTTAAGAAATGGAACATGGTATTTATATCTAAAATGTAATTTGTAAATGTCAAATCTCCGAATAGTAATAACACAAAACCAAAAGTAAGAATAAATACGTATTCAAAGGGATTTATTAAATTCAAGATGTCTATAAAAGGCGTATAAAATGTTCTAATATAAAATGGGCTAAAATTATTAGGCATGCCAAAATTTAGGAATGTTAAAATTGACATCAAAATATTTTAATTAAGATCTTAAATAAATGTAAGAAATTTAGAAAATATTTAAAAATGTATTTTGTTGTTATAACATAATCACAAAAATTATGGAAATAGATTGATATTAGTGAACAGTTTAATTTGGAGGCCTAATTAAATAGTTGAATTTAGGGATCTATCAGGGGAAGTCACTTCTGGTGACCGTGATTTTAATCTTACCAGTCATTTTATATAATTAAAATAAACATGAATGCAAAATAAGGAAAGTGCAAAGAAATGGAATTTTTTGAATCAAAATATACTTTTGAAAATCCAATATCAAAAAATTGTTGGTTATGAATTTTAACCATTATAAGACAGTTAATTCAATACCCACAAAGGAAAAATATAAAAAACTCATTCAATTTTTGGGTCAATTCCCAATACACATGATGAACTGTGTATAGTACATTTGACATATTACCTTCATGTTGGAAAGGTATCAAACATGAAAAAGAGGAAATGTTATTGATTTAATTTGACAGTCATTTACACACAACAATGAATCACTTCGGTTGTAAGAAAATGACCAAAAAAAAAAAAGGAAAACTTGATTATGGGTAAGATAATGGCTTACATGGTAATGCCAAGACATATAACTTCAATAACACAAGCGAAGGAAAGAAATTTAAGTTTCATGGTCCTGATAAACTTAATAAAAAGCCTAAAGACTTGATTTGATGGAGAGATTAAAAGGTGTGACATATTAAGCGTGATTGTGTCTTAATCGAACAAAACAAAAATAATTCTAGAAGTCATAGAAGTGGACAAGGATCTAAACACAAGTTTCAATGAAAAGGAGGTCAACTTTTTACTAATAAATATGTCAGAGTTAATGTTCACTAATTTAAGAATCTTTTCATGTACATGATGATGATTGTGCATCACACACCGATCTTTGACATCAAAATAGGTAGAAGTCCATTTTATTATTATTATTATTATTATTATTATTATTATTATTATATATATATATATATATATATATATATATATATATATATATATATATATATATATATATATATATATATATGTGTGTGTTTGTGTGTAGATATGGGAAGTTGGTATCGAAGTTTCAAAGGAAGAACTTTGATTTCAGAACACTTATTGTTATAGTATATAGGATTATCCACAAAACTCTACATAGGCTATATAATATTAGGATGTTTTTTTAAAGAAAGAAATTGATGATGAAACATCATCAATTCTTGAGAATAACGTTTGGGTGTTGTCAAATTTTCCTCGAAGTTTTAAACAACATGGTTGAAAATGGATCTTCAAAACTAAAATAAAATTTATAAGATTACTTATAATTTCAAGTCTTCATTTATAACGTCTATATAAATGTTGGATTAGATGTTTAAGCTCATAAATATAATTGACATATACTTTAATTGATAGTAGAACAATCCTTTTGAGTTACTTTCAAACCTAGTAATTGGATATGATTACTTTTAGAGAGAGATGGAGATTAATTATATATGTGATTAACAAATTGAAAAAAATAGTTTATTAATATATCATGAAAATAATATAGTAATTAGAAAAACTATTATTTAATTAATAATTGATCAAAAATTAATTAGAATGAATTATAAGTACAGAGTTTAAAGTGTAATTGTTCAATAGTTGAACAAAAGGCTCAAGAAACTCTTACCATAGGTGGTGGACAATTTTGAGGGGATATTCTAGGGTTTCTAGAATATCACATGTAGATAAATAAGGAATGAAATAAATAACAGATTTGAAATATTAATTTAATATTAAAATCATGGTTATCTACGGCTTCCTTGTACCACTATATAAAGACCCCTAAGCCTTGCATTTCGGCCACTCATACCTCTAGAGAGAGCCAAAATTCTAACATTCCCTTTCCTTTCTCCATAGTCTTTCTTGTTGCTAGTTTGGGTGTAAGTTATTAGAGGCACGATAATTATGGTGATTGCTTCGAAAAGATCTACAAGTGAAGGACTCTTGTTATTTGCTACAATAACAAGGTATGTAGACCTAAACCCTATTACGATTTTTGAAATATACCTAAGGTTTCTAGGGTTTCTTATTTGATGTTCTTAGTTATAGGTTCAATAGTGAAAACTGTTGGATAAGGTGTCTAAGTCCATAACTATATTTGGTATGTACTTGACCCGATTTGGCATGGTCCATTTAGGTTGCATGGCATCAGAATAATTTGGATAGACTTTTGTGAGAAGAAGATACTTATGGCTTATTAATATATTAAAAGTTCTAATATATTAATATGAATTATTTCATTAGTATAGATCGAGAATTCGTTTGGAATTAACTTTGTGACGAAAATAAACTAATTAAATAAATGGGGATTGATTTGGTAAATCATTCATTCTTATATAGTATGCTTATGATCCATAGTTCTTCATGATGGGCTAAACCCATGTGGTTACCCATGGATACTCCATGGAGGTTAAAACCCATGGATCATGAGGAATGTGGAAAGTCATGAGTTACATGGTGTAACCCTAATATACACACTATATAAAGAAGCCTCATGTTAGCAAATTGGCACTTAAGTGATTCTAGTGAGGGCTAGCCGATTTTGGTGCTTAATATTCTTCTCTCAAGTTATTCCTTTTGTTGGTAGTGTTGTGTAAAGCATTTGAGGCATCATATTTGGGGCGATACGCTCATAAGGCCTTAAGGAATCAAAGCTACAAGAAAGGTATGTCATTCTACTAGTTTTTTATATTACATATACCCCTTGAAATGCTAGTTAGGATGAAACATTGGAAAAGGAAAGTTTGCATGTATAATAGAGAAAACATAGATCCAAGGTTTCTACGGTTGCATATACACCATATGAGTGTTAGAATGCTCAACGTCCATCAGTGGTATCAGAGCCTAGGCTTGTTTTGAATTATACTTGATGCAAATTGCTTAAAAAATCGATATTTCTGCTCACTGTTCAGTGAACTCGCCGATTCCATGGGGGGACTCAACAAGTCCATGTGAAATCTCATCCAACTCGTCGAGTTGGTTCATGCACTCGACGAGTTGGAGGCCCTGAGTGCACAATTTCGAGTTTTATTGCTGGAATTGGACTAGGATCATTACCCTAAACTGTTTTTAGATTGTTAAACATGTTTTTGATGTGGTAATGATTTTGCTTAACCAATTTCAATGATAATTGTCACAGTTTCAAGTTTTATATTAAGTTCATATGATACATGAAAATTTTTGATTTGAATTATGCATGCTTATGAGTTCGTTAGATCATAGAAATTATTTAACATGCTTGTTAGATCATACAGAAGGTGATGCATTTATCAGTGATAGTACACTAATAAATTTGGATGAACCTAACAACTTCAAGGAAGCCATGGCAGGCCTTGAATCTACAAAATGGAAAGAGGATATGGATAGCGATATTCAATCTATGTATGAAAATCAATTCTGGAACTTGGTTGACAACGTACCGGGTCGTAAGACAGTCAGGTGCAAATGGATCTTCAAAAAGAAGACCAACATGGATGGGAATGTACACACTTATAAAGCGTAATTAGTTGCGAAGGGATTTACTCAAACTCCGGGACTTAATTATGATGAGACCTTCTCACCATTAGCGAAGATTAAGTCAATTAAGGTTATGCTAGCCATTGCTGTATTTCATAAATATGAAATATGGAAAATGGATGTCAAAACCGCTTTCCTTAACGGAAAGTTGGCTGATGATGTTTACATGAGTCAACCAGAGAGTTTTTTCGATGCAAAGTACCCTAATAGAGTGTGTAAGCTTGGGAAATCCATCTTTGGATTAAAACAAAGATCTCATAGATGGAATCTTTGTTTCGATGAGAAAGTCAAAGAATTTGGCTTTTCGAGGAGCGAGGATGAGTCATGTGTATATATTAAGGCTAGTGGGAGTATAGTTAGATTTTTGGTATTGTATGTGGATGATATACTAATCATAGGAAATGACATCCCAGCCTTGTAGGAGGTTAAGTCTTGGCTTGGGAGGTGTTTTGCTATGTAGGACATTGGAGAAGCTGCCTATATCTTAGCGATAAGGATATTGAGAAACAAGAGTAAGAGACTAACTGGACTTACAAAGTACCTATTTGGATAAGGTGTTGAATAGGTTCAACATGTAAGATTCCAAGAAAGGTGACTTACCAATCCATAGTAACGCCAAACTGAGTAAGACTCAGAGCCCAAGTATAGAGGTTGAGATAGTTGAGATGAGTTGAGTACCATATGCTTCTGTTGTAGGCTCGATCATATATGCTATGACTTTATACTCACCCGATGTGGCTTTTGCTTTAAGCATGGTCAGCAGATATCAAGGGAATCATGGCAAGGCTCACTGGACTGCGGTGAAGAATACTCTCAAGTACCTGTGGAGGACTAAGGACTGGGTCCTTACCCTTGGTGGGAGTGATGACTTGAGAGTAGTAGGGTATAGTGATGCTATCTTTTAGACTGATAGGGATAATTTCCGCTCTTAGTCTGGTTGGGTCTTTACCATAAATGGAGGAGCAATTACTTGGAAAAGTTCCAAGCAGGAGATAGTAGCTTATTCAACTTGCGAATCAGAGTATATAGCATCAAGTGAGGCGGCAACGTAGAAAATATGGCTGAAGAACTTCATTGGAGACCTTGGAGTTGTATCATCTATAAAGGAGCCTATAGAGATTTTATGTGATAACGAGAGTGCAATTGCCTTAGATAAGGAACCAAGAGTCACGGCAGATCCAGGCACATCGACAGAAAATACCACTTCATTAGATATCAAATCAAAGAAGTACTCCTCGTGG